CTAAAAACCGGACGCGCGTAAACTAACATATTTCGGCGTGTACGCTCGAACCGGTACAGCCCTGCGATTCTGTAACTCACTTTTCGAACTCACACAGCGGTTTTCGCATCGGCGGTCGCTCTGAAATCAGTCGTGAAGCAGTCATTTTATGATTTGGCATTCTGAAAAGGTGGGAGCTTGTAGTTTATTGTTTATTAGAATGCCAAATCATAAAATGACTGCTTCACGACTGATTTCAGAGCGACCGCCGATGCGAAAACCGCTGTGTGAGTTCGAAAAGTGAGTTACAGAATCGCAGGGCTGGCGTCGTGGAATAAGGATTCTGACTATTTCCGTTACTTATTCGCCGTCGATTGAGAAGGCGAAAAAGATGCTGGGTGTCATCGATGGTTGCATCAAGACAGAGAACCGTTCACTTTAATACACCCTACCTAGAACTGCGAACTTATTAGGGATGTGAAAAAATAATCGTGTTGCGACATTGCGCACATTTTATATCAGGCGCATTTTAAAATTATAATTGTAAGGCGGGGCGACTTGCGCCATCACTTCTCTTTGTACTTGACTAGCGAAAGGTCATATAAAGAAATTAAACAAGTTTACACAAGAAATCTAAGAGTTTCATTTGCCGGCCCAGTCCTTCCCTAAAGAATGAACAAATCGATTATGGAAAAAATCATTGATTTGTGTATATAATTTCTATTGTTTATTTTTAATTAATAAAACCATGATAAATAAAATATTTAAGGCGTTTATTTTTCAGTTAATTCAAAAATTAGGAAAAAAAACTTTTAATAAAAATTCTAAATAACTACTACTTATAAATCAATTTTTCATGCTAAAAAAACAATAGATTAATAAAAAAATCGATTTATTTTGCAGAATGTCAACGCTCGTACGAGTTGCGTACGCGCGTAAAAAATGCTAGTCCTTTAACCGCCCTTAAGCCGGTTGCAGACCGAAAACTAAGCTATGCCAAGGCTAAACTAAGCTATGCCAAGCAAGCTAGGCTAAGCTAAGCTAGAAATAAATAGCGTGCACACCAACAGCTAACCCAAAGCTCAGTCAGTGTTGCATACTATGTGCAAAGGGTGTGCGGGGTAGCGGGAGGGGCTTAGCTCGTGTAGCTGCGCATCGGCATACACAACTAACTTAGCTTCGCATATTTTAGTTAGCTCATGGGGCATCCACACGCTGGCTGTTTGTCACAAACACCGCAAAAAGCAAACGAAGTCCCAAACACCAACCACAATCACCCAACACAAACAGCCATCCACATGCTTGGCGAACGTTCATAACATTCCGAATCGGCAAACATGGCGGACGACGAGCTTGTTGCAGCTATTACTTTCGGGTTGACATATTTTTATTATAAATTAAAGCAAGAGAAAGAAAAAAAAGAAGAAAGCAAAGACGATGGTGGATGATTAAAATACATAGAAAGCGTACAAGGCTTTAGACCTATTATTTGAGCTTTACTTTGCCGTGTTTTTTTTAATTTTACTTAAAAGTTACTTAAAAATTTCAGAATCGTAGGTGCTCCAATCAGACATTTTTTACGCTTTGCGCGCCAACGAAAGTGTAGCAAGTAAATACGTCCGCCTCCCGCAAGCTCGCGCGCATACTGATCGCTGCCAAACGTGTGGATACGTAGCAAACTGTTTGCCAAACACCCTTTGATCTGGCAAGATAAACCGACACCGATGCCGAACACTGCCCAACACGAACACAAACAGGCAAACAACGACAAACACCCATCCACACGTCCGTGTTTGCTGTTTGCCATTGTTTGTCAAGCGTGTGGATGGGCTTTTATGGGGCATCCACACGCTGGCTGTTTGTCACAAACACCGCAAAAAGCAAACGAAGTCCCAAACACCAACCACAATCACCCAACACAAACAGCCATCCACATGCTTGGCGAACGTTCATAACATTCCGAATCGGCAAACATGGCGGACGACGAGCTTGTTGCAGCTATTACTTTCGGGTTGACATATTTTTATTATAAATTAAAGCAAGAGAAAGAAAAAAGAAGAAAGCAAAGACGATGGTGGATGATTAAAATACATAGAAAGCGTACAAGGCTTTAGACCTATTATTTGAGCTTTACTTTGCCGTGTTTTTTTTAATTTTACTTAAAAGTTACTTAAAAATGTCAGAATCGTAGGTGCTCCAATCAGACATTTTTTACGCTTTGCGCGCCAACGAAAGTGTAGCAAGTAAATACGTCCGCTTCCCGCAAGCTCGCGCGCATACTGATCGCTGCCAAACGTGTGGATACGTAGCAAACTGTTTGCCAAACATCCTTTGATCTGGCAAGATAAACCGACACCGATGCCGAACACTGCCCAACACGAACACAAACAGGCAAACAACGACAAACACCCATCCACACGTCCGTGTTTGCTGTTAGCCATTGTTTGTCAAGCGTGTGGATGGGCTTTTACATAGCTTAGTTCGCATAGTTTGCGGTCTGCGCAGACGTATGGAAAATTGGGTCAGCTATGCGAGCTAAGCTAAACTAACGTGGCTTAGCTCTTGGTCTGCAACGCGTATTTATGCAAAAGGCGCAATGCCGGTGGAGTTGGAGAAAAATGGAGGAATCCTTTCATAGATGGACCTAGAAGAATGGCTTGTTATGATGGATATTTTACCCCAAGATAGCTGGTTCTACTGGTGCGGGGGCCGGGGCAAAAACGCTCAGTTGTGGAACGGCGAACGTCGAGGTGATACGGATGGAATTTCGTATTCTCCTTCGACGTCCGGTGATGAAACTCAGCTGCAGGTATTGATCCGAACAAATAATATCATGCTAGGTATGAATTTGCATACTTTGTTTATAGATGGTAATAGGGAATAAATAACCACAGGAATAAATTTTTATTAAATATTAATTTGACAATCTTAATGACAAAAGAATTACAAATTTATTTATACAAATTGCTATATTAATTTATATTATATACAATATTTCTTATCTAGCATAGCTAAGGCAATATAAATTAAAGATTTACTGAACACTCTTACTTGGCCGAGTTACATTTATAAGTAGTCTAGCTTTTTTTTAAATTATCAAATGTCAATATAATTATTGAAAGTAATATTATTATATATAAACAACACCAGGAATATAGGCACATAACTTTTCAGATAACAGAAATTTTCTAAAACATCTGGATCAACGGTCTGTTCATTAATCAACTGATTCGATAGTTTAACACTGCCCTGTTACCGGTTTACTTATTACAGTTATCGGCACATCTTTAATTTATATTATTCGACTAAATCAATGTCCATTTTGCCATTTATTTAATTCCCACCATTTTACGCCCTTTTATTTAGATTTCAAATATTTTCTGTGATTTATATGAATAACACAATCTGTATTAGGTAATACACAAATCAACGCAATACAGAGAAAAGTAATTTGTTATTTAAACTGGAAACATTTGTAGATAATATTAAACTGGCAACATTATATCTATTATACAGGATGTAAAACTCATAAACATTGATACTCTGTAATTTCTAAGTGATATAGTTTTGCTACCACGCAATTTCAAGAGAAATTGGTTACAAAAAGTCGAAGTTGGGAAAATTATTAACTATAAAACTGTTTTGCTGTATAAGTGGTAACCATGGAAAATTATTAAAAACTATAAAAATGTTTTGTTTGCTGTATAAGTGGTACCCTAGGGGAGTTTTGAAGTTATACTTCTTTAGGCCATTAGGAAACACAGTGAACTTTCGATGCCCCACCGTGACACAAGTTCTCCGTTGTTTACGGGAATTAAATTATACAAAAAAAGAAATAAATACTGAAGTTAGCACGCAGAATTTAATGACCGTTGATTTGTAGTACCTTTTAAAAAAAAAGGAGTTTTAATTTTTTTCAAAAAATACAAGCTCAAAGACCTATTGTTTAATGAAAAATACATTGTTTTAATTCTCTATACTTGATTATTTTTTATTAATTGTTATCTAAATGTTATAAGTTAATGTGAATATTATGATTATGTTTAAAAAGTTAAGAAAAGCAAAAAAGAATAACACTTTACGGGCGTGTATAAGACACGCAAAATCCTTTTAGTTAACTGTTACCTCTTTTTAAGATTTTCTTATTTTTACCTCTTTATTGTATTTTGGAAATGGCTTTAAAATTGTGTAATAAATATTTTATTTCAGTCTTAGAAACTACTGCAAAGTAGTGCAAATGTATTAACTTTAAAACGTCTATAAACGTTTTACACTAAATAACACATCCAGTACCAACTTTTTGCCGATAGATGGCGCTATAACATATAATAGACTCTCGTATTTGTCAACAAATTTTGAGTTAAATTTATATCCGTTAGAAAAAAGTTTTCTCAACAATGAGTGACACCCTGTATAATACTTTTAACAAAGATAGCGACCATTTAAGCTTTAAGCTCTTAACTGTGTACATAACATACTATAAGCATTAATTAGTTAATAATTTTGGAATTAAAGTGTAAAAAAAAATATCCAGCGCAGTTCTAATATTAAAATCGGTCCAGTAGTTTTTGAGTTAAGGAAGCGTTTAAGTTTTACGTCACACAATTTTTGGAGATTATTGGACCCCCCATGTAACGCGCCGTAACGTTTTTCTTTACCCAATAGTAAAACGTTTCGTGACCACCCAGTGACTCTTTATACCTAAAAATTACCATTATGTGGTGTAAAGTTCTGGAAAGTCGCCAATTATATTAACAATAATGCGTAAATCAATCCCCCCCCCAAATTCGTTACGTAATACTTTAACTACAGAAATACAAATCTACTTTATAGGTTATTTAAACATTTTTTTAAAATCTTTGTAAAATATAATTAAAATAATTTTTTTTAAACTAAAAAAAAATTGTTTCTTTAAATTTAAGAATTAATTCGTTATTTGAAGCTTATAGTACGTTAATAAATCATCAGACATCAGTCTACACGTCAGGGGCGTCGTCAGACATCGAAGCCCCACTCCTGCGCTATGGCACTCTGAAGGGCACCACCAAGTCTTCGTGATGCTCCACCCTGAGCTCGGAGATGGCTGCCGCGGCTTTCTTCACTGCATTCGTTATCTGTAATTTAAATTTAAAGATTTATATATTTTTTTATGGCGGCCGTTCAAGTACTACACTATAGGGGACATATTGTCAAAGTCAAAATAACTTTATTCATACAGGTAAACAAGTACACTTATGAACGTCAAAAAAAAAGTTAAATTAATTCTTAATTAACATTTACTACCAGTTCGCAAGTCAAGGGCGTAGAGCGCAAAACTATCTATGCTTGAAAACGAAATGCATTTTCGAGGATTCCTACTAAAAATTAATACGTTTATGAACTATCATTTTTGAGAGCTTTGCTTACTTTTTCTGACAAGAGGACGGGGGGAGGGATAAATTGCAGTAAATCTGCTTACGTAATGCTTGAACGGACCCAATAGGCAAGTGATCAGCCTTCTGTGCCATCAGACCTACGATGGTTTCCTTCACTGTACGACCAAGGATTAAATTTTTGGTTAAGTATTATGTACAGATTTGGGGGGGGGAGGGGAAACGTTACAATGCGGGGCGGGGACTGAATTACGTTATTGTTAATATTATTTACGACTTTCCAGTACTTTACACCACATAATGGTAACTTTTAGGTATAAAGAGTCACTGGGTGGTCACGAAACGTTTTACTAATCGGTACAGAAAAACGTTACGGCGCGTTACATGGAGGGGGTCAAGAATCTCCAAAAATTGACTTACCAGATCCTTATCTGCACAATCCGGTGGTGGACCATTGAGAATCACTTTGGAAAGGGTCGGTGGAACGTCAGCTAATAATTTTACAGGTATCTGAAAGTAATTTAATATTAAATATGTAATTATAGTGAAATTAAATTAGTAGGTTAGTTGAGTGTAAGGTATTCCAGATTCCTAAAGATGTTTTCCGAGCTAGTGTTTTTTTGTAGAATAGGAGGGCAAACGAGCCTATTAGGCGCCCATAAGGGGCAATCATCGCACTCCATATTTTTCCATTCCAACCATTTGGTGGGTATAAAGAATAGTCCGTTGCAGCCGTGATTTGAAGTGAAGAAAAACAAATTTATGGTGAAGCTCTGTGAGTGCTGTCAGCTGTCATATATCGTCGACAATGACATAAGAAATTTCTATGTCATAAACTGAGATTTGACAGTACTTTTAAATATACATAATACTGGTTTAATGAAATTTCCAATACAAACTCATGGGTTTATTCATATTAAATAAATTATTATTTAATTAAACAGACATGAAAATACTAATAACAAATCAATCTCGATGCTTGAGACTAATAATTTAAAAAAGTATAAGTATAAGTATTAATTTCTATACAGGCAAAACTTAAGACCCGAAATTCCTGACTGACTTTAAAGTAAAATTCTTCGAGCGAGCTGTGTTGACCTTAGTAGCGTGTCACTCCCATCACTGAGGTCCTAGGTTCGTTCGTATTAGAAAAGGAAAATAATCACGAAACAGAAATCTTAGAGTTTAAAAGCCTATAGAGTATACATACTCGATATTTTTATTAAAAAAATCTGTAAAAATGCTCCAACAAGGTTTCATATAACACATTTTCCACCATTTGACCAGACTTGACGGAGAAGCTATACATACATACACAAAAGAAGTCAGTCACAACAGCCTTACCGGTGGAGTTAGTGCTGCTGAAGCTGCTCGGGCTGTGTAGGCTCTCACTCTTTCACTATACGCATTAGCTTCTAGCGAGTATGGGCCTAAAGCGCCCACATCTATTACATTACTGAAATAGAATTAAATGTCTGAATATTAAATATCATTAAAACAGGTTACATTGATTAGATTAAAAAATCATGTCTTTCAGTATCTGTTTTCTATAATATTTGTTGTTTGCCAAAATAATTGCAAAAATTTTCAACTTTAGGCATAACTACTAACCATAAGACAGATCTTATTGTAAATTTAAACCATTCTCGAATCCATTCGAACACACAAAATATTTCATCAACCATTATTTTTATTATTTTTTGTCCAGCCGTTAAGTAGTGCAATTACAAACACACACACGCATAAGTTTTATACATAAAGATATTTTTTTAATTAGAATGACACTGAATATTTGATTCAGATTGATACTCACGTAGCAGTCTCATGTAGTATCCTATTTAGAGCACTCTGCTCGTCTGGTTTTCGAGGAGGTGTAGAAGCACACATGGTTGGGGATGGTGATTCCTGCTGCTGCTCAGGGACCTCAAGAAGATGTGTCCTTTCGTTAGGGACATTATCCTGGAATGCCATTTAACAAATTATAATTATATTAAATAACCTGTGAAGAATAACCTATAAAATAAATATTAATATGAAGATTACGACCTGGTTTGATTCGTAAAAAACACAACCACAACACAGCAAAAAGCATATATCTAGTGTCAATGGTTGTTTAAAATAATGGTACATGATAATTCTCTAAGTGAGTGCAAACAGATGTATTAAACTTAGGTCTAGCTTTTGAAGTACAAGTTAAAAAGATGAACCACCATAACCCATGTACTATGGTGTAATGTCATTACAGACTTGACTTTATCTAAACCCCATCCAGGAGCCAGTCCACAGTGAGTCACTATTGCATTTTGTCTTCAGCGTGGCTCCAAGTCTTTCCTCTCTGCTTTCTTTGCCTCATCTGCAACTGTATGTCTTTGCCTGCTTGAAGATGATTTAAATCTTATAGGAGTGTTTGGCCTAGACAATTCCACCAGCATCGCTAGATCTACTGGTTAATCAGGGTTTCTTGGCAAAGACAGGGGTAGACTTACGAAGATTTAAAGCTGGCTTCCATGTTAACACACATATAGCAGTACACACTATGGATACACATATTTTAATTTGGTGTCATTGTCAACGTCCACGAATGCCATACTGGCTAAAGTTATGCAACGATTTCTCAGCCGTCATTATAATTATCATCATTTTTGAATATCATACGGTTTGTTCTCATGGTATAGGTGTTAATTTGCAACCGTAGTTATAAATATATCTTCAAGAATTGGTATGATGGTTTTTAAGAATGTATTTGATTTTAGTTATAAAAACAAAGTATTTTGTGTAAAATGTACTTGACCACGCATGCTGTAAAGCACGCGAAACGTCAGAAAAATTTAAAATTATGTAAAATAATTGTAAATTTATATAATAATACATAACTTCAATCCAGTAAAAAAGTGTTTTCTTTAAGTGTGTCAATGTTATGTCAATAAAAGACAATACTAAAATGTACTTAATAGACCACAAGAACAATGAGAGTACCTTCTGATAAAACACACAATTCTGTAAAGGGAAATAAATTATTCAATGCACTATTATTGATAATACTGTAAAATAAAAGTTGTATTCATTCATGTGACTCATTACATGTTTATAATGAAACAGTACATTAAATACCAGTTTGCAGCAAAATATCTAGGTCTAATCAATTTAATTAAAACAGTGATAATACTTCTTTATAAGAATAGCTAGGTTACCTACTTATTAAGCAGATTAACAACATAATTAAAATACCTTTCAGGTTTTATTGAAGGTATCTCATAAAATGGAGTATTGAAATGAATGGTGGTAATCTTCTTATTGGTAAGATTTTCTGTCAAATAAAACACTAGCGTGCCTACAATGGCTTTATTTGGTAAATAGTTAGCAACATAAAAGTTTCTAAAATACTTTTAAATAATTTCTACACTATATCAAAGTTGTCATTATATATGACGAGATACAGAAATGAAAATATACCATTAAATCTATTTCCAGGTTCAATAGTAATGTAGAAAGATAAAAAGACAATAAACTGGGAAGTTATGATAACAGTAGACATTTTGCTTTACACTGTTGTTTTTGTAATCGTAATTATTATTAACTTTGAATATGATGAATAATTAGTGCGTCACATGTTCAGGTGTTGTTGATGTTATTATAATTTTATATTTATAATTCACAAATACCTTGAGGTGATATTTACCTGAGGATCTGAATCATTGTGGCATATACTATAGCAGCACCCCATGACTGCGGTTTTCAGGAAGTCGAAGCATGTATGCAACGTACAGTTTTCATCGTCTGACTGCATAAATGTTTTGTTAGTTTGAGGATATAAATAGAAAATTGAAAATAGCGTAAATTAAATTTTAACACCAAGAATCATCAATCAGTTTCAATTTCAATTTTCACCTTTTGACATTAACAAATGACATGACAATAAACTATAACTATAATACTCGACGACGTGGATGTCATTTGCCTTTCAACTATCAGTTCTCAATTGTTATTGAATAATATTTGACAATTGTCTTCCATGCACAAACTGTTGAAACATTTTGTTTTTCTTGTGCTTTCTAATTTGAAATTTGTAGTTATTACTTATCATAAAACCTGGGTATTAATAAGGAATAATGATAAGATATCGAGGAAAGAAAAACGTTATAGATAAAGTAAAAGAGTTTGATGCATTTACAAAAGTTCCCGAAGAATACGTGGATAGTACGCCGGTGGGCGGGACGTTCTCTATCATAACGCTTTTTATCATTGTGTGCCTTATATACAGTGAAGTGACATACTTTCTAGATAGCAATTTAGTATTTAAATTCATGCCAGACACCGACATGGATGAAAAGCTACGCATAAATATCGATATAACAGTCGCTATGCCATGCTCTAACTTAGGTGCTGATATCTTAGACTCTACTTCACAAAGCGTGTTTGGATTTGGTGAATTGCAGGAGGAGGATACATGGTTTGAATTAACACAGGAGCAACAGGATTCTTTTGATGCTGTGAAGTATTTAAACTCATACTTAAGAGAAGAATATCATTCGTTATGGCAGTTATTATGGAAGAAAGGTCATGGTTCTGTCAGGGCAACGATCCCGCCGCGGAAAAATAAACCAAATAGAAGACCGGATGCATGCAGACTCCATGGAGTACTAACATTAAATAAAGTTGCTGGTAATTTCCATATTACAGCTGGCAAAAGCCTTCATTTACCAAGAGGTCATATCCATCTTAATATGCTATTTGACGATACACCACAAAACTTTAGCCATAGAATCCACAGGCTCAGTTTTGGGAGTCCTGCAAATGGAATGATTTATCCTCTAGAAGGTGATGAAAAAGTAACAACAGATGAAAGCATGTTGTACCAATATTTTATTGAGGTTGTTCCTACAGATGTAGATACAACGTTTGAATCGATAAAAACATTCCAATATTCTGTTAAAGAGTTGGAGCGACCAATAAGTCATACGCATGGATCTCACGGTGTGCCAGGAATTTTTTTAAAGTATGATATGGGAGCAATTAAAATTAAAGTATACCAAGAAAGGGAAAACTTACTTCAATTCATGTTAAGACTGTTTTCTATTATTGGTGGCATTTATGTTATATTTCGTTTTTTGAATACCATAGTTTTAACATTACGGACAGCATTCGTTAATAAAGTAGCACCTGATGTTTTAGATAGGTTAAGTGAGAAACCACCTAAAGTCCATCCTTTATTAGTTCCAACAAATTTATTGGTACCTGATGGACCAGATCTGATAAGACAATGATAAATAATTAGTGTTATGCAAGTAAGCATAAAATGAATTTGTGTATATAGATCATGTGATGTATTATTTTGACATTTATTTATTTTTATAATTAATGTAATACAAAGCTATATATTGATAAATTTGGATGCAATTCTTATAGTTAGGTATTTTGTCATATTATTGCAATTAAATGTACAGTAATTTTATATTTTATTATTGATATTTATTAAACAATACAATTGAAAATATATTCTCTACAATTTTATAACTTGTTTTTTTTTAATTCCGATATATAGACTTAAGAGTTAAAACTTATTAAAGTTTTTATTGTGAAGGAAAAGGGGGCAGATTGTTAGTATCGTAAACGGTGTATATCTCCTACCTTCTCTATTTAACTAAAAATACTATAAGGTGGTCCTCTTCGCGCATTTCTCTTAACGCTCGACTGACATGCTGAAATGAGACAAAAGCAAATTGCGTCTCGACTCGCCTCACGAGTCATAGCGGGCATTCTGTCTGGGTTGCCAACATTGTGAATTGCTACATAGATTTTGGTACTTATTAGGATTTTCAGTATCTGTATTAAAATAAAGAAAGTTATATAAATATGCGGACTAAACGCTAATTGTTCTTTATTTTTTAACAATGTCTATTTAATTGACCAGGAAGAGTTGTTGTGTATTGTTTTTCATTTATTCACAGCCAAAAATAATAATTATATCATATAGATTAAATTGCATATCCCTATCTATAACTACTTTTAATACTATTTGAAAATAAAATATCATACATTCAATCTATACAAACTTGTCACAAATATATCCAGTTATGATGTAGTACTAAGGGTAAGGTTCACTAGATTTATTAATTACGATATATTTATATAGGTATACCTTTACTGGGCTAGGAAATTTACTCCGCTGCCTTTGCGACCCAAATTTTCTTTACTGTTCTTTAGGCTGTTATGTACTGCGATGGCTTGGTAAGATTTCATGTATGGTTTCGTCAAATGTGTATATTAATGCAAACATAGGACGATTTGAACATTAGTTTCATAAAACTAGTTTATTTCTAAAAATAATCCTATTATGTTTTGTTATTTTAATTTAATTAAAAAAAGTCATAATTTATAGTGTACAACTTATATTACAGTTAAATGAAAAAATATATTAAAATTAATATCTTTTTAAAAATTCAAGTTGGCCACACCGTGCTCGGCGCTCACCAATCGCCATTCGCGCGGCGTCGTTGCCCCTTGGAGGAGTGTCGATGTTTTTAAATTATTCCGACACCAAAAGTTTGGAACTTTTCTCCCGTGGCCTAGAGTTGTAAAAACTTCTTTATAACCTCAAATTATAGTGCGGTGTTGTGTGAGTCACTAGTTCAGTGTGTGTGAAGTGTATTATATTTTTTTGCAACGTAATTTACCGTTCCATTGTACGTTACTGTTTTGTTGAACGCGTAATAAGTTCGAGTAACGAGAGAGGGGCCGTATATGGTGGATTCTTGCGTGCATCGGCGAAAGTAGACCTTAAGGTTCAAAAGGACACGGCTGGCAACAACTCGAAACAACGCGTTTCGCGTTCAGTTGCGAGGTGAGTGGCTTTACCTACTTATTTACTTTTCGAATAACAGTTAATATAAATTTATCGTGATTTCGTTTGTGCTCCATCAAAAAACTTTTAAATTTAGAATTACACTGAGAAGCACAAGCTTCCATAACAACAACAATCCATAGACAAGGTCGGTAAATAAATTAATGTTTTATTACGTCTCAGTTACGTCTATATCAACTATAATTTGTTGTAAAAAGGCTTGTTAAAATCCTGTAAATTTTTACATTTATAGCAGTATATGTGAGCGTACAATATTATCGTTTAACAATGTTATGAAAATAACATATACATAATAGTAATTTAATAAGAAAAAAAACTTGACCACTTTGAGTTTCGATGGCACTTGAGCGTTCCATATTTAAGCTTAACTTGAATTCTCCTACATATTATGGTTATTTCTATCAGCTGAACTGTGTTGCCATTCATGTCGACTGTGGGTCAGTGCCCTATACCTGTTGCTTTGCGGTTCCCAGTCAAGCCGGTTCTCACGACGTCTAACACAAAAATATGTCGGGCTTTTTATTAGAGATCGGGGTGAAGATATTGTTTAAACCATAGACGTTGAGGTTATGTATTTATCGTCCACAGATTATTTCCGTACGTCTCGACTCTTAAACAATGTTTAATTGTGGTTGGGATATGTGTAGTTTTTAACACGCTCACATTGCCAGACGGCTCGCAAGTGCGTTGCCGGTCTTTTAAGAATGCGCTCCATAAAAATAAAATAAAATATGTTTATTATGGAACATAAGATACATGTATCACTTATTCCACGTCATGAAATTTGAATTTGTAGGCATCCCTACTCATCGGCAAAGAAGACAGAGGGTGTAGGCCGAGAGAAAAAGCCGGCGAAAAAAACTCTCGGTACTCTTTTAAAATAGCAAATCATCAAACAACACTTATTTTAAAACAAATATCGCAAATTAATTAGAAGTAGCCTGTCTATCACTAGTCCCAGGCCCTTTTATCAACTAGATAATCGTTGACTTTATAGTAAGCCTTTTTGCATAGCTTTTCTTTAATGCATTTCTTAAATTTATTAAAAGGCAGAGATAAAAGAGCCTCTGGGATTTTATTAAAGAAGAGTATCCCTTTTAATAGAATACACTGCCTTGTTTATGCCTTTGTCTCCAAATGGTATTAATAGTTTGTTTACGTAGTAGAAGCTTGTAAACATAGTCGGAAAAAATTCTACCTGAGTCGGCCTATTCTCAGAGGGGTTAGAAAAAACAATAGTAGAATAACATAGATACGATATTTTTTAAAAACTTCAATGTTCAACGCTGTGGGTGTATGTGTAGCAAATGGAACACGTATGAAATTCATATACCTATGTAAATACATATTCTTTTTTTTAATATATAATAGGGGGGGCAAACGAGCTTGCGGGACGACCAAAAAGGGCAGTCTACGCAGCCCATTGACACCCATTTTTAGTAGGTGCGTTGCCAGCCTTTGAGGGAGGAGTAGACTCGCTTTTTAATCTATCGCGGAGCTGTCAAATACATAGTTGAACCATGAAGTACATGCCGTTTCTGTTCGTGTGGTCAGTAACGAAATCAAATATATTTTAGCCGGCCAATTTTTTTGATTTACAAAGCGTTTGCAAGCAGACCCTTGTCACATGACCTGGAATGAAATGCAGTAATCTAATTGTCCAGAAAACCGTGCTTTTTTCCCAATACAAATCACCACGGGCGCATTTCACTGGCATATTCGTCAACTATGCAAGTGATTTTTTTTTATGATTGAAGCTTTACTTCTTTTAGCGAGTTAGGGAGAAATGATGAGAGTAAATTTTTGCCATGTGCGCGCACACCGTCAAAAAAACTGACACCCTGAAGTTAGCTATAGTCGACATTTTAGTTTTTTCTATTGTTTGTGGCGTTTTTTCTACAAACGTAGAATACAATTTTTGAAAATCTTTAATCTTGTTACGCCAAAGAAGTACAACTTCTAACGCGTGTACATAAGTACTCATACGTTTTTTACGTGACAACGTTTAAATTGTGGAGCCGGCTGGCAGAAAAAACATGACTATGCGGTTACCTCGCTCTGAGGCGTTACCTCGCTCTGAGGCGTTACCTCTCTCTGAGGCTCCTCGCTGAGGCTTACATTTAAAATTGACATAATTGATTATGCGTACAAATAAATGTAACTTGATCAATCAATGATCCATTTACCTCCTCTAATCCATACAAAATACCTATCAAACAAATAAAATTTAATTTTTTTTTTTGAAAAATGCAACCATCCCATCAATATTTTTTTATGACGTTGTCACGTTCAACTATCGTCAGTAAACCGACTTTACAGACAACCGATTTTTTTACGTAGCCTTTTTATAAGTGTGTGTGATTTCATTTTTTTTTAAAGAAAAGGTTTTAGTTTAATAAGCATTAGCACAGACTACGATAGTCATTGATAATGACAGAGAAAGTTCTAACGTGAAACAGGTCTCTCAAAGCTTTTAACCATTACGTCGCCATTACCGAGGTATCCAAGGGGTTTCCGGGTATGCTACGCTCTTTTCTTAGTCGTATGGGTGGCAGCTGGTTCCACGACGATGTGGTGCGATGCAGAAAGTGCCTTAGAAAGCGCACTTAGGTCAAGGTTACAAGGAATTTCGCACTCGTTGCGTTGTGATGACATTTTGGTCCGCTCCCCTGTGCTCTGTAATGACTCTATGATGTTTTAATTAATTCATTTGGAGTTAAAGAGCATACGCCACCACACCATTGCCGAGTGATAAAAATATGAAGAAAAAAAAAACATTTGTAGCTATTTAAAGTGGAGACATGATTTGACAAATTTACCGAAGTTTAATAGTCTGTGTATAATTATTTAATTTTAATAGCTTACAGCCCGTTCCCACTAGTCGTAAGTCGCATAAGACTAAAAGTCGAATGCTCTGGTCACCATACACTTTATATGGAGTGTTCAATTAGATGAGACGCGATTTTAGTCTAAACGACTCAAACCATCCGACGGGCCAGCGTTTTAAGACTAAAAGTCGGTCGAATCGTGCTCGAAGGTGCTGTGTTGTGTTCACACTGTGTGGTCTTGATGAGCGCGTTGTTACCTCTCTCCCGCCCGCTTCCTGATCGTACACAATGTTGTACTCTTTCTTTTTATTCCGAATGGCACGAAACTACGACCATACGACTCGCAGAGTGTGAAGGGACATCAGACTTTCGACTTTTAGTTTATGCATTACGACAGGGGGGGTGTTTGCAATTTTTTTATATTAAAATATAATTATAACGCAATTTTGACAGATCCACAGTTAGTTAATTACGCAATTATCTGCCGTTATATTTAACGATGTTATTGTTATGATAACCGAAGATAAGATACTGGGAAAGTAGTTTAATTTTTTAAATTCCTCATATATATATA